TTCGGTCCGGTATTCTGTCACGGGTGCACTGCTGAGCAGAGTCAGGAGCAAGGAACGGAGAGAGACGAGGAGTACATCAATCCAACTGGGTTTTAATATACACAAAGGAACACGGAACACTCACGCAATCCATGGAGACATGACATGAACAATACCGGACGCTGGAGCACACACAGGGAACACTATTTATACTCACAGGAGGAGGGGATGACGAGACACACCTGGGAGCAATGAAACAATCAAGGGAAACACCTGGGACAAATTAAACATGGGAAAGGAAGGCACATGAGGAAAACAACCACAAAACACGGAACAGAGTCTGACAGTTAACTGCCTTAATCTGTGTTTGGTATTTGTTTGATTGGCCCAAATGAGATCTTCTGGTTCAATTTTTTTTAAAAGATGGACTAGGAATTTATTGTATTGGGAGGAGGTCTTTTTTGTACTCTTTCTTTTTGAGTTTGGCTTATGGAGCAGTGAGTAAGAAAAAACATTCTGAGTCATTTTGACCAGATTTCAACCCCTTTTTATTTATTTTTTTTTGAAGCCAAATTATAGACATCTGCTTCAACTTTAACCGCCTTTGGTAACAGCCTTATCTCAATGATGCCCTTGTCTCTGTAGCAGTTTAAAACTCAAATGAGTCACAAAATGGACAACCAGGCTCAAATTTAAATATGTTGCACATGACAGTGAGTTGACGTCTGTGCTTCCTTTGGCTAGGGGGCTTATGGGTTACAAAATCTTGTTTCTTGGTTTTGCACAATGCAGAAAATGTGGGTGATTACCAGGTCCAATTCAAGAGAGCCCCACTCCCATAACTTAAAATGGGGCCTTAACATAAAAATATAACATTTTTATGTTATGGCTTATTAATAAAGTGAAGTGATTTGCCATATGATTGTTTTAAAAAAATTAATTTAAGTAAGTGTTAGATGATGGCAGAGATTTTCTAAATGTAAAAATAGGATACACACTACCATTCAACACTTTTGGGTCAGTCAGATTTTTGTATTTTTTTTAATTCATTAATTAATTAATTTATTTTTAATTAATACTTTTACTCAGTAACAATGCATTCAATTGATCAAAAGTGACAAACAGACTTACTGCGGCAATTTCATGGGGTTTTTGCCGCTCAGTTTCTCTTACTTTCATTCAGAACAGTAACTTTTTTCAAGGATCATCCGGAGGCATCTGAGCACCTTATGCCAATTTCGCCTCAGGACTGCCACTGACTATCACATACACAATTGACACCACTCTAGTCTCGAGTCAGACATGTTCAAACCATTGAGGCAGTTACCAAATATACTCATGGCGATGGCCACTTCTGCAAAAAGCTTTCATTACTTGATATATTTGCCTGAAGCGGAAATTTAACAATCAAGTTTTGAAGTGTGTTGAAATCTCTATTCTTAGAATGCACTGCTAATTAGAATCAGTGTTATAATGGTTGTTTGCAAATGGATTAACATTCACATTAATTTGCATTTTCAGAGAATAACAAAGAAGCTTGCCACCAGAATGTCATAGTGAAGGCGGAGCCTATGGAAGTGGACCCTCCCCTAGAATTGGCCCCACCCTCCTCTCATCGACTGGGCTTCAGCACTTCAGGGGCATGTGAGAAGAAGGAACCAATGGTCAACCTCCCAGATCCTTTGCCCCGCCCCCAAAATGACCTCTTCTCCCAGGACATATCAGTCAAAATGGCCTCTGAGCTGCTTTACAAACTGTCTGGTAAGTCTCTATGACAGAAGAAACAAAGGGGCGGACTGTCGCTCTCCGCAGCGACAGTCTTCAGGTTTTCTTCTTCATCGTCTTCTCTGATTGCTGCACTGACACACTAGAGAGTGGAGGGATATTTGTGGTGTTAAATGATGGCAGGATTGAGCTTTTCTTCCAAGAGCGTTCTGAGGATTAGCAGAGACAAACCTGCCCCCAGCGCTCCTCGCTGCCAGCTACGGCTCTCTTTAAATGCCATCTAGCACCTCGGAAGCCGATCACAAAAAGCCGCCCCCCACTCACACATATATTTATCTATACACGAACCTCACACGCACGCCATTTGCACCCTCCCACCTCCCCCCCTACCCCATGGGAGTGGTGTGTAGCTGTACAGTGTGTATGTATAACCCCTCAACCCTCGACTCCCTCAGATTGTTCTCAAACATTCTGGCTCAAGCACACTCGGTTGCACACACTTCCCTTGTCTCTCTCTTTCTCTCTCTCTCTCTCTCCCTCTTGCTCCTGTGCAGTATCGTCATGGCAACGTAGAGAGCCCTTCCATCCTCTGTGAGCTGTGTGACCGAGAGGGTGTCAGGGAGAGGGGGCTTAGGAAGTGCCACCCAGGGAGCAAGGTCATTACCAGACCACCAGAAGAGAGAAAGACAGGCAGATAGACAGACAGATATCTCTTTTGCCCTCTGCTTTTCGAGATTTTAAAAGCAGTTTGGCAAAACATGGTTAAATATATATATATATATATATATATATATATATATATCTGTACACGAACCTCACATGCACGCCATTCGCATCCTTCCACCTCCCCCCCCTACCCCATGGGAGAGGTGTGTAGCTGCACAGTGTGTATGTATAACCCCTCAACCCTCGACTCCCTCAGATTGTTCTCAAACATTCTGGCTCAAGCACACTCGGTTGCACACACTTCCCTTGTCTCTCTCTTTCTCTCTCTCTCTCTCTCCCTCTTGCTCCTGTGCAGTATCGTCATGGCAACGTAGAGAGCCCTTCCATCCTCTGTGAGCTGTGTGACCGAGAGGGTGTCAGGGAGAGGGGGCTTAGGAAGTGCCACCCAGGGAGCAAGGTCATTACCAGACCACCAGAAGAGAGAAAGACAGGCAGATAGGCAGACAGACATGAGACACTGTTCTCTTTTGCCCTCTGTTTTTCAAGATTTTAAAAGCAGTTTGGCAAAACACGGTTAAAAAAATCTAACCACTGCAATCCCTGCTGAAAAGACTGTCTTAAGTCAGCATGCATGGCAGAATTATTTTCTTATTTAGTATTTTCTTGCATTACCAGCAAAACAGCATTCTAATCTACCACCATGCAAAATACAATATATGCTGGACACCAGCAATGATTGTCTTTTTATCAGGGATGGATTAATGGTCAGCTTTATTAATGAATAGTTCTACTAACAAGTAATTGCCTTATTATACCTACTGGTGGCATATGATTTTTGTTAGTACAACACAAAAACAAGCCTATTTTTAACTCCATTGTGTTTTTATTTTTCAGAAAAAGTAAGTAAAGCTAACGAAAACAAAGACAATGCATCCTTCGGTATACACAGGTAGGTTTACTGTTGTGCGCTTATTATGCTGCCAGAATGTAGGGAATCACATTTATTGAATCTAATTGTAGCTTGTGATTTTCCAGCCCTTTCCTAGACGACCGCTTTAGACAATCACCTTTCAGCACACGCTCCAAGAGCTCTTCCCCAGCTGAAGCTGGATCTTCAAGCAGGGTTACCCAGCAAGGTAAGACTATCTCCTCTTCACCAGCCAAGACCCTTTACTCTTTACTCACATTCAGCATTCATAACTGCCATTATGACACACCTGCTAATGCAGAGTAAGTTACCGGTCATAAATATTTTTTACTGTTCTAACCCATTTAACTGTATTTCATTATTTTTAATATTTAAAAAAAAAGAGTGCATATTATATGATATTTGTTCTTAATATATGTTTTGGTGCTTTAATGTGAGGAATATCCCACATATATATTGCGACAGACTTCGGGAGAAAAAAATGTAACTCAGATTGTAGCTTATACAATTCAATGTAGGCACTATATTATGTTCCTTTCAAAGGTACTGTCCACTCACAAGTAATTTTTTTTGTGGATTTGGTATTCATTTTGGACCCTGCTCACATCTACATAGATCTATGCATACAAGCCACCCCTCTCATCTAATGCGAGGCTACAGAAGCCCCTCGTGCTCCCACCCAGCTTTGAGACCACTGCACTGGGCAGCTGGCACTCCCTGCTTCCCTCTACTGGCCCCTCTGGCAAAGGGTAATTAGTTTGCGCTCGCCTGGCCCGATTCCCTACACCAGTTAATGAAAAAATGATTGGGTTTTTCGTGTCCAGGGTGCGTGAAAGTTAATTCACTACACACTCAGACATGTGTTCGTTCTTCCGCGCAGACACAAAGAAAGCGGACATACACAAATCACATAAGAGCGGCCATGACCCTTGTCTACCTTTTTCATCTCTTTCTCTCTTTCTCTTTTAAATTCTTTCTCTTACTCCATGTTTTTTGGCATTTCATTGCTAAGTGTCTAACTCCTTCTGACCCGGTGTGGGTAGTAACTCCCACTCCTTAGTTAAGACAAAGAGCTCTAATTTGTTATTTTTAACAGCACAATCAGTGGTTGAAAAATAATGAATTGCTCTAAAATAGTTCTGTATTTATGCCAAAAAGGTAAACTGAATCAGTGTTTGTTTGCGTGTGTGGCTGTATGGCCAATTTGATCATTTCTGTATAAAAATTGCTTTTATGTTGTTCTTGGCTGCATCAGATGAATGGCATTGCCTGCTTTTACATCTTATTTTTATATTTTTCACTTAATTGCATGAGAATACTTAAGTTCATTGTGTCATCCTTTGTGTGTTCGGTGTGTGTGTAACATTCCTCTTCTATCCTTGCCTCTTGCCCCTAGTCATCTTCAGCATCACTGCGGAGGCTGTCTCTTCTCTCTCTAATAACACTAATTAAACCATTAACCACTTCAAGGCATTGATGTAGATGCTCTAGTGTCTCAATTAAATGTCAGTGCCTTATTTTTTTATTGCAGTCGTGAACTTTGTATATTTTGACCCAAAATGTAGCATTGTTAACCTGTATCCAGCTGACTGAACAAGACACTAGATAGTTGACCCAAAAATAAAAAATCTATAATCATTAACTACCCTGGAATATAAAAGAAGCTACTTCAAACAACTTTTTAGTCCATTCTGTGAAAGTCAGTGGGGTCCAAATAAACAGTTGACTTTTGTGTATTTACAAAAAAGATTACCATTCAAAAGTATGGGGTTTGAAAGATTTTATTTTATTTTATTTTTTATTTTCATCTTTACCAAGGCTGCATTTATTTGATAAAAAATACAGAAAACATAAGATATTTAATATAACTTATTATAACTGTTTTCTATTTTTATATATTTTAAAATGTATTTCTGTGATGGCAAAGCTGAATTTTCAGCAGCCATTACTCCAGTCTTCAGTGTCACATGATCCTTCAGAAATCATTCTAATATGCGTATGAAATATTTTTCAAAATAAAATAAAAAATCTTGCTGTCCCCCTGACCCCAAAATTTTAAACAGTAGTGCATCTTTTTTGTTGTTGTTGTTGTTTGTTTTCAGCAGAAAAAAGTAAGTCATACAGGTTTTACATGAGGGTGAGTAAATGTTGACAGAAGTTTGATTTGAGTAAACTATCTCTTTAGGTTTGTTAAGGAGCCTGGTTCTGAAAGCACAACATATATTGGTTCCCAACGATGCAAGTCTTTTCAGTAGGAGAGGTGAGAGAGTTGCATCGACAACAAGAAAATGAAGGTATTAGGGGATAGTCATAAGCATTGCACAGGCATTTGTTCACTCATGTCCCCCCACTGAGGCATTGTGGGAAGGTGCCATCTTTTCCCTGGCAGTCCCCAGGCTCTTTGTCACACCAGAGCTGTCGGCACCACATCACACCGTGAGTCAGACGCACAGGTTCGTATGAGCGGTGTGACTCAGTGGAACCGTGGGGTGACGAGGCTTATTCAGGGCCCTGTGTCTGATTGTGTGTTGCCTTTTCTAAACTCGCTCATAGATTGAAGCAGAGGGCAAAACACCCACTGTAGTTTTAATTAAAGCTCTTATGCAGTGCAGGTCAGTGCGGAGGACGGCTGGGAGACGGCACACACATGGCACTCTTGTTTAATTATGCGGTTTAGCGATGCTAATTCATGCTGGTAGTGTGGAACTACTAATCAAGTTGAGTCTTTAAGATTCAAATATGGTCAAAACATCATCCAGTAATAGTAAGTTTGATATCAACAGGTGCTTAAAGGTGTCAGTGGTATGAGGAGATGGTGCTTGGGGATAAAGCAATAGTTTATGCAAAAATGAAAATTATTTTGTAACTCACTTACCCTTGTGTTGTTCCAAACCTGTCTGACTTTCTTCAGTGGAACACAAAAGCAGATTTTAAAGAATGTTGATTTTGGTGACCATTAACTTCCATTGTATGGATGAATAAACATGGAGACATTTCTTAAAATATCTTCTTTTATGTTACACAGAAGAAAGGAAGGCAGTGAACATAGTATTTTCTCAGAATTTATTGTCAGGATTTGAGGTGAGTTTATTGGGCTTGTAAAAATTAATATGTAATGGACAAAGAAAGTACTGCAGCATGTAAGAAATTGAGGAGTCTGGGGCACATCTAACTAAGACCAATGAAATATTTAAAGAACAAAAATGGTCACCTGAATCCATGAGGGAGAATGATGTGGGAATAAGCTTTTCATGTGTGACAGAACTATTTTTCTTAGAGAAGGAAAAACAAAGTCCAGGTTGAGCAGCCGCTGCTGTTTGAAAGAAAGTCACAACCTCTAGATAATCCCTACACCAGTTAATGAAAAAATGATTGGGTTTTTCGTGTCCAGGGTGCGTGAAAGTTAATTCACTACACACTCAGACATGTGTTCGTTCTTCCGCGCAGACACAAAGAAAGCGGACATACACAAATCACATAAGAGCGGCCATGACCCTTGTCTACCTTTTTCATCTCTTTCTCTCTTTCTCTTTTAAATTCTTTCTCTTACTCCATGTTTTTTGGCATTTCATTGCTAAGTGTCTAACTCCTTCTGACCCGGTGTGGGTAGTAACTCCCACTCCTTAGTTAAGACAAAGAGCTCTAATTTGTTATTTTTAACAGCACAATCAGTGGTTGAAAAATAATGAATTGCTCTAAAATAGTTCTGTATTTATGCCAAAAAGGTAAACTGAATCAGTGTTTGTTTGCGTGTGTGGCTGTATGGCCAATTTGATCATTTCTGTATAAAAATTGCTTTTATGTTGTTCTTGGCTGCATCAGATGAATGGCATTGCCTGCTTTTACATCTTATTTTTATATTTTTCACTTAATTGCATGAGAATACTTAAGTTCATTGTGTCATCCTTTGTGTGTTCGGTGTGTGTGTAACATTCCTCTTCTATCCTTGCCTCTTGCCCCTAGTCATCTTCAGCATCACTGCGGAGGCTGTCTCTTCTCTCTCTAATAACACTAATTAAACCATTAACCACTTCAAGGCATTGATGTAGATGCTCTAGTGTCTCAATTAAATGTCAGTGCCTTATTTTTTTATTGCAGTCGTGAACTTTGTATATTTTGACCCAAAATGTAGCATTGTTAACCTGTATCCAGCTGACTGAACAAGACACTAGATAGTTGACCCAAAAATAAAAAATCTATAATCATTAACTACCCTGGAATATAAAAGAAGCTACTTCAAACAACTTTTTAGTCCATTCTGTGAAAGTCAGTGGGGTCCAAATAAACAGTTGACTTTTGTGTATTTACAAAAAAGATTACCATTCAAAAGTATGGGGTTTGAAAGATTTTATTTTATTTTATTTTTTATTTTCATCTTTACCAAGGCTGCATTTATTTGATAAAAAATACAGAAAACATAAGATATTTAATATAACTTATTATAACTGTTTTCTATTTTTATATATTTTAAAATGTATTTCTGTGATGGCAAAGCTGAATTTTCAGCAGCCATTACTCCAGTCTTCAGTGTCACATGATCCTTCAGAAATCATTCTAATATGCGTATGAAATATTTTTCAAAATAAAATAAAAAATCTTGCTGTCCCCCTGACCCCAAAATTTTAAACAGTAGTGCATCTTTTTTGTTGTTGTTGTTGTTTGTTTTCAGCAGAAAAAAGTAAGTCATACAGGTTTTACATGAGGGTGAGTAAATGTTGACAGAAGTTTGATTTGAGTAAACTATCTCTTTAGGTTTGTTAAGGAGCCTGGTTCTGAAAGCACAACATATATTGGTTCCCAACGATGCAAGTCTTTTCAGTAGGAGAGGTGAGAGAGTTGCATCGACAACAAGAAAATGAAGGTATTAGGGGATAGTCATAAGCATTGCACAGGCATTTGTTCACTCATGTCCCCCCACTGAGGCATTGTGGGAAGGTGCCATCTTTTCCCTGGCAGTCCCCAGGCTCTTTGTCACACCAGAGCTGTCGGCACCACATCACACCGTGAGTCAGACGCACAGGTTCGTATGAGCGGTGTGACTCAGTGGAACCGTGGGGTGACGAGGCTTATTCAGGGCCCTGTGTCTGATTGTGTGTTGCCTTTTCTAAACTCGCTCATAGATTGAAGCAGAGGGCAAAACACCCACTGTAGTTTTAATTAAAGCTCTTATGCAGTGCAGGTCAGTGCGGAGGACGGCTGGGAGACGGCACACACATGGCACTCTTGTTTAATTATGCGGTTTAGCGATGCTAATTCATGCTGGTAGTGTGGAACTACTAATCAAGTTGAGTCTTTAAGATTCAAATATGGTCAAAACATCATCCAGTAATAGTAAGTTTGATATCAACAGGTGCTTAAAGGTGTCAGTGGTATGAGGAGATGGTGCTTGGGGATAAAGCAATAGTTTATGCAAAAATGAAAATTATTTTGTAACTCACTTACCCTTGTGTTGTTCCAAACCTGTATCGCTTACTTCCATTTGTGGAACACAGAATAAGATAAATGAAAAATAGTGTCCACTTTTTTGGGTGAAGTATCTTTTTCAAAGTCAAATGAGGGCAAGATGGTTTATTGCTCAGCACAAGAAAGAAAAATAAAAAATGACATCTCCTAAATATCTCAGTGTTTTCTCCTAGTCAGCAACTGAGATTAAATGAAGTGCACATGGTGAATTTAAAGTCTACTTTTCTGATTTTTCTACCCCAGTAGTCTCTATTGTCACTGCAAAGTTATCAGTGACGATATCAGATTTTCACTACATGATTATCGCATTTAAAAGACAATATTATCATGATATCTATCGAAACGAAATAAAGCTATCAGTCAAATTCATCTTTAACTTCATTTATTTTGTTTTCTCTTTTTTGGCAAATGAATCACAAACACTAGCTTAGGGAGGTGGAGAGAGTTTTTAATCACAATTGTACAAAAAAATAAATTGCCTTTTTGCACTTCCTGCAAACTTGGATGTCTAAAATCCTGCTTTTTTATGGAATCCAAAAAAACTCCCACACTGGTAAGCTATTTATTTCTGTTGCGTTGCGGTTAGAGTGTCTTGCTTTCACCTGTCATCTCCTCCAACATGATTTTGTGTGACGGCAGTAGCTACACGCGGCGTCATCATCTTTTTTCCTCAAATATTTCTCATCAGATTCTTTCAAGGATAAATTATCTGAGCTAAACTATTCACGTTACTTTAGTGTAGGAGTTTAACTGTATATCAACAATTGTCTCATTTGTGTCTGTTTTTATTTCACCTAAAGAATTTTAAAAGAAACATCTGAGAAAAAGTTGTTGCTTATTTAAAACATAACCAAGAACTCCATTGATCTATAAAAGAGTAGAGTCTGAGCAATAAAAGTTTCTTCTGGGTCATAATTTCCCTACTTTTTCCCCTGTTGGCTTAAAACCGAAGTAATGTGCCTCGTTTTTCAGAAGTAAGTAATACATCAGCAGTAAAATCGAGCAGGCAAGCAAGACATCACTTATCCGTATGTCTTTTAAAATAATGATGGATTTCAGAACTTACCACAGGATAGATGGCTTACATTAGTTTTAACAGCTGCTCTAGGACCAATAAAAACCTTGGCATCTCTGTGCATGATAACAATGAAATTGACACCTTGACATTAGATTGCCCTGTAGATGTATATATTTAACTCAGAAGCGTCTTTCAACTAAGATCGTTGTGAGGAATAAAGGGGCACTTTTAGCATCATTCCCTGTGACTTCTTCAGGACGCGTACCGACAAGTCAGACAACCCCTCCCATTGGGCCACTTTGAGACACTATTCCCGTCAGGACTTTTGGGTTCGGTCTCTGGCAGAAGATACGAGCATCCCCATGAAAATGTCCTTCAGGTCTTGCGTCCAAGGCCAGTGCATCTGCTCTTTAATTGCCACCATTAAATCCTCTCTGATATGCCAAAAAAAAAAAAAGAAAATGCTGTTTCTCCCCAACCACTTGCTCCCCTTTTCCTCGCCATGCCCCCATCAATCCTGAGGCTGCATTGCTTATGACAGCATTTGTAAAAAATGTGCCTATTTATGAGCAAACCACAAGTCCAAAGGGACGGGCACACACCCGCTGCATATCCAAAAAGCCCCTTGAATGTTTATTGAACGGATCAAATGCTGTGGTACATGCATAAGAAAAAAATAAAAAAAACTCAAGTCATTGATATGACCTACAAAAACCCAAAACATGCATCTCTGAATGCCTTGACATGATTAAAACCCTTTCAGTTCAAACCGCAGGCTTTTTTTTTTTTTTTTAAATAAGTATACATATTTCTGTTCAGTTTTGGCTTGTAAAGAAACATTGCTTAACATTTGGCAACCTCTCTGCCTCTTGTTTTGTACAGAATTATCGCCAGGCGTTCATATTGCACCAGACATCTACAGTATTTGAAGGGGCTGTGTTGCATGATGACGGAATTTCTCTTCGGTTTATATATTTATTTATCTATTCATTTATTTATCTCTCTCTGCCTCCTTCCGGAGAGAGAAAAGGCGTGGCGCTGCAATTTAATTTGACGCCGAGCCAACCACCTTCATCAGAAGGTTAATTCAGACGCTCTCCTCCACTTGTGTGGCATGCTGCCTCTCTCTCTCTCTCTCTCTCTCTCTCTCTCTCTCTCTCTCTCTTTCTCTCCCTCTCTCGCTCTTCTAATGAAAGGTGAAAAAGGAGCACACAGTCCAATGTCAAGATAAAAAAACACCTTGTTGGCTCCCTGATCTGGATGTATAGACTCATCAACATATTATCCAACACTGTGACAGAACACACACTGACCTCTTGCCAACCTCCGTGTCTCTTGGTTTCTCGGTTGTACCTGCAATTAGTAGTTCCCATGTGTCACAAGAGTATAATATGTCAAGAATTCAGACAAATTAATCTAAGGGAGTAAATGAAGAGTTTGGTTCCAAAACGCTATAAATCCATTTTGATTTACAGCATCTTTAGGTTATAATAACATTAAAAATTCAAATCAAGATTTTTATTTTCAAAGATTTATTATAAAATTCTATTATTTTTTTCCCAAAATGCAATAAATCCAAGACACGTTTTGTTTTTTGTTTTTTCCAAAATGAAATAAATCCATTGAATCAATATAATACTGACGAGATGCGCATGACAATCACATGCGATTTATCGTGCAGCCCTAAGTTTGTTTGTTGATCACAAAGTACAAAATAGATGAGGAAAACTAGGATTCCGGGTGTATTCAAAGTGCCGCCATTACTGTCTAGAGTGCGTGGAAAGGTGCGCTGTGATTGGTTGAGCGGATATGTCACATTCTGCAGAGAATGGAGACTGGCGTTTGTCGCGGTTTGGAAAAAAAGGGAGAAAACATGACAGAATAACTTGGCGGATATCACATTTTGCGTAAAATAAAAAAATGGACTTTTCAATACCGACCAGATACAATACTGATTTTGGCGGAAACTCAAATTTTTTTTTTAAATGGCGTTTATCGCATTTTGGAACCAAACTCTTCAAATGTTCTTGTGTAGCATGTACTGTATATTGTAATCTCAAGGATGTCTAGACCAATCACAAAAACAATTTTTAGCTATAATATTCCAAGACTGCAAACTGGAATGTGACAAAATGAATCGCTTAAGAAGTGTCACAAGAGCAATAGTCCGGTCTGAAATGCTGGGAACACAGACAAGCATAGCGATACGAACAGTGAAATTTCCCAGTGCTGTTGGACTAGAGAACCAGAACTAACTGTTGTATAATATCTGATGATTATTATTAGGGGCAGTCGTGGCCTAATGGTTAGAGAGTCCTGGGTGCCGCAGCATTGGCTGCCCACTGCTCCGGGTGTGTGTTCACGGTATGTGCACGTGTTTGTTCACTACTCACTGGTGTGTGTGTGCACTTGGATGGGTTAAATGCAGAGCACAAATTCCGAGTATGAGTCACCATACTTGGCCACACTTCACTTTATTATTATTATTTTTAATGTATCCAGATCCAGAGAAGGTGAGTAGTGAGCCAGGAAATGGACTCGCCCAATGGAGACTCAACGAACAGCTCTTTCCCTGCCCTATATGTGGCAAAGTATTTGGTCGCCAACAGACTCTCTCCAGGCATCTCTCCCTACACACAGGTGAGAATACATGCTCTCAAACAACATTCAACCAGTTTGGCTATGCCGGTTAACCAACTATACCAGCTAAATTTTTCTGCTCCACCTTCGATGTTGGTGTAAGCTGGTGTTTTCAGCAGAACTGATCGTGTGACCTCTGTAGTATTACATTTACAAATACATCCATAATCACAACTACAATGTTAAATTACCTGGGTAACAGCTTTTACCAGTTGACCAGGTTAAGGTCATCTGCTGGTTCACAACAGTTAAGCAAAGTTACTGAAAAACAAGCTTTGTTGAATGTTATATTTTCACATGTACACATACATGTCCAACAACATTGTATGTTGTTATTAGGACAAGTAATTCCTTAAGTAAGTAAATAAGGTTCACTGGACTAGATTACCCTTCCTTTAAAGAGATTAGGCTACTGATTAGTCCTGGTGGGAAAAGTACCTAAGTGATTACTAAGCTGTAAAGAAGTCTCCCCAAGCACTAAGCTCCCCTGGAGCACAGCACAACCATGACCAGCCTTGCCTGATCCTTGAACAGTCATGTCCCGCAGGTCTCTGAGGAGCATCAATGAGCCGTCTGATCATGGTCCATTCAAATGCATCTCAGTCTGGACTACAAAACAAATAAATAAATATAAAGTCCTGTGGGAACGGTGAGACCTCAAGATCCTCTGATCTCAGAATAGCCAGGAGGAGACGGGACACCTTATAAACATCATCTATCAACAAAAGAGTCTGTTGTTTGTTTGCTTTCTAATTGCTCTCTTGTTTGTCTCTGCAGAAGAGAGGAAGTATAAGTGTCATTTGTGTCCGTACGCGGCTAAGTGCCGAGCCAACCTCAACCAGCACCTCACCATCCACTCAGTCAAACTGGTGAACACAGATGCCGAGCAGATTGTTACCGCTGTTACCAGTGAAGGCCAAGAGCTCAAAAACTGCCCCTACTACTACAGCTGCCACGTCTGCGGCTTCCAGACAGAATTTAATGTTCAGTTTGTCAGACATATGTCTCTTCATGTAGACAAAGAGCAGTGGATGTTCTCTCTCTGCTGTAGCACCTGTGAGTATGTGGGTGTGGACGAGGCTGAGATGAAAGCTCACATCAGTGCAGGGCACACAGGTAAGATCTCACCATTCTTACATTTTATGCATTACTTGTTGAGATCTTGAGTTTTAGATGCTGGTGTGTGCACTTAACTAGTTGAACTAGCATGACTATCTTGGTCAACCAGCTTTTCCAGAAAGACCATGCTGGTTAAATTTTGCGGGTACATCGTGCCAGTGCTTGTTCCCCAGCTAGACTAGCATCTAACCAGTACAAAGCAGCTTGGTTCCCTTTCAGTCGGTCACTCTCGACGTCACGTCGGTAATGAATTGAGATCCCAATTCGTCGGTCATTACCGACGTGATGTCTCCGTTCCCTCCCTCAGGGAACGAGGGTTACATACGAACTGAGACGGTTTTTAGCAAGGTGCTTAACATACCTTCTGGTTGTTGTTTTAAACACTTGGGAAACTTTGGCGCAAGTCCATCATAATATTTGCATATTTCTTTTGAAACTCAAAGTGCTTCTGCTAAAGTTGTAATTCTGAGTGCAGGACTACAGTCATGATAGAGTCATGAATTCCTAAAATGAAAGATTTTGGATCTATAAACTAAACAAAAAACAAAATGTAGTTGACAAATTTAAAATTGGACAACCAAAAATGACTTGTGGTTCAGTGACGGAATCAGTTGTTAACTGATTCACGGCTTGTGAAATGGCTTTGACTGATTCACTGACTGAGTGAGTCTGTTTCAAACTGTTAACTCACTCACAGGTTTCAGACTGTTTTGTGACTGACTCATTAAAAAGAACAGGTTTATTAATTTGTTAATTCATTGTTGTGTACAGATTAACGCAATTAGTGTACAGATTGTGTAATTAGAAAGATGTAATTAAGTAGTGCCACCACGCAAAATGCACAACCGCAAACATTTTCCCAGCTATCGCCAATGGTACTAGATTTTTGTTGCACAACTAGATTTTACTCTAGACCTGGAGTGTCAGGAGCATTTTATATTTTGAGATATTTTATTGTATTTCTATTTACTCTGTTTTACAAGATTATGGCCTTTTAGCATAAATAATCTCAAAATATGTTCGTCAGCTTGCAAGAAGTTGGGTTGAGGCAGGACTTCCTGTTTGACCGAACACTGAACATGGTGCTAAGGAAATGAGTGGTAGGAGTGATTGGGAAACCTGTTTTACTGTTGCCAACAACATTTCAATGGAGAGCAGCTAAAGCCTGCTTGCTAAATGTTGTTAAATGACATCATACCATTGAGTCTCAGAAACTAAGTAAGGTTTGTCCAAGAAAGATTTAGATTTGCTAGATTTGTCGCTAGGCAGTTTTCACTAAAGGGGTCGGAAAAGTCGTAAAACCTGGTGACAAAGTCAACTGGTTTGAAAACCGTAGTTATTTTTTTAAGTTCCATTTGGTGGCGCTAGTGATGCAGAATTTACACCGTTAAGGTCTGAATCGCTGGGTGGATGTTGTTGACACAGATACTCGCCAGGGTTATTATAGACAAACACCTCAATCTTTAGGTTGTGCGTGGGGTTCATTTTTAGTCGGTCATGGAACTGACTGAGGGTTCACATTTGAGTGGGTGTGTGAGTTTATATTTAACTGCGAGGCCTGGTGTTATTAGACCCAAGGAGGCAGAAAAATCGATATCCCTAGTCTCTCACAACTACCCATCCAAGTAGCCCAACACCGGCATGTCTCCCACACTCACTCTCACGCCACGGAGCTCGAGTCCACTTCAGCAAGACAGTGAGCTCAGAGAGTGCCAGCAAAAGAACAAGTTGGGTTGTCAACTGCGATTTAGCGTCCTTCCAGAGACACCCCTTGCTGCAGATTGGCTGACCTCGGGTCAGCGCCTACCAGCCTGCACTTCTTTGTCTCCTGCTTAGGAAGGTGGCTGAGAGTTGCGGCTGTCACCTGGGTGCCCGCCTGGCAGCTGTTCTCTCCATCACTAATGCTTTTCTTTACACTGCAGGTGTACGGCTAAACCTGGACGTTAATTCATCCTGATATTTCGACCAACGTCCACCGCGTACAGTAGCCTTATAGATGCCGTCAAGTTCACTCACAGAGATTAAGTCCTGCTCTTCATAACGCATACGAGTCACACAGCGCATCTATATTCAAAGATGTCATTGAAGCTGACAAAAGATTAAACATGACCACCTACTCTGTATTCTACATGCGTTCTTTCAAAGGAACGGCAGTCTCAACATGTGAGCGAAGCGCGCGTGAGAGCTGGTATCGGCCATTTCGTGAGCTCTGAGAGCCCTAGGGGAGAGCCGTGGCCTGAGATGTTCCCGCCATCTTAGCTGTGGCGGCCCTGACCTAGGAAGCCCCCCTCTCCTGCCGCTCTCAGGCACAGCGTAGATCAATAAGAGCACAGGCTTGAGTGTTCTGGCTGCTTGGATACAGAAGTCAGGCTAAATCCGCAAGAGTGCCTCTTAGGGAAGAGAGCCCGCCTCCCGACTTTTAAGGCTTAATACCGCACTGCTCTAGGCATACATTTTCCAGCCCAGCTCACTGGGTGGATTTCGATCAATTTGAGGATTTTTCTGCCTTTCACTTTACTCATTACAGAATTCATTATCAAACCTTGAGCTCTGAAAGATGCTCCCACCTAATTCTCTGATGGCTTAAGCTAAGCCGAGTCTTTGATACCATCATGTCATTCAAATACGGAGTTTGTCTTATATTCAGGAAGTGACCCAAAATGTCTTTCTTTTTCTTTCTTTCTTTGCTAAATCCGCAAGAGTGCCTCTTAGGGAAGAGAGCCCGCCTCCCGACTTTTAAGGCTTAATACCGCACTGCTCTAGGCATACATTTTCCAGCCCAGCTCACTGGGTGGATTTCGATCAATTTGAGGATTTTTCTGCCTTTCACTTTACTCATTACAGAATTCATTATCAAACCTTGAGCTCTGAAAGATGCTCCCACCTAATTCTCTGATGGCTTAAGCTAAGCCGAGTCTTTGATACCATCATGTCATTCAAATACGGAGTTTGTCTTATATTCAGGATGTCTTTCTTTTTCTTTCTTTCTTTCTTTCTTTCTTTCTTTCTTTCTTTCTTTCTTTCTTTATTTATTTTATCCCACACAGGTTTCAATTCCAGAAGCCCTCTCAGTGAGACCAAGAGCACTTCCTCCTCTCTCTCAGCCCTCAGCGACTCCCTCAACAGCTCTGAAGGTGGAGATGTTGCCCAAGGTAACGAAGAACTAAAAAGCCTTTTGGGCCCGCCTTCTTCTGCGGGCAGTCAATCAATCTCAGGCCCAGGAACAGAGGAAAAAGCAGAGAAAGGTGAGGCTTTTATATACTACTCTTTAAAAATTTGCGGTCAGTAAGATTTTTTTTTAAATAAAATCATACTTTTCAGCAAGAATATATTAATCGATCAAAGCTGACAATAAAAAGTTTTGCATTATTACAAAAAAAAATTATATTTCAAATAAATGCTGTTTTTTATTTATTTATTTATTTTTTATACTTTTTATTCATCAAAGAATCCTGAAAAAAAAAAAAATCACGGTTTCCCCAAAAATATTAAGCTGCACAACTGTTTTCAACATTGATAGTAATAATAATAAATGTTTCTTAAGCAGCAACTCAGCATGTTAGAATGATTTCTGAAGGATCATTTGACACTGAAAACTGGAGTAATGGCTTTATGTTACAGGAATAAATTACATTTTGAAATATATTCAAATAAAATTTAATTTTAATAATATTTCACAATATTACTGTTATATATTGCGAATACTTTCACAATATTACTACTTTTGATCAAATAAATGTAGCCTTGGTGAGTATAAGAGACTTATTTTAAAAACATTTAAAAAATTACCCCAAACTTTAGAATGCTATCTAGATAAAAAATACTGAATTATTATGACAATAACTAAACATTAATGTTCTCATAACCATTATATAATGTAATAATGGTAGTTCAGGAAAGTTAATAGAAGTTATTATGCAGTGTTACCATGAAAAAAAAAAATATGGCAGGCTCCCTGAGTTGGCCAAGGGCCTGGGTTGTGGGTCCCTTGGTCTACAGAGGTTCAAAATCTAGATTAGTGGCCTTGGAAGAAAATCATTGCGCTATAAAATCGATTAAATGTCTAATTTTTGACAATCCAGTTCCTTATAACCAACTTAACAGCATAACAACATTTTTCTCTCTCTTCCTGACCAATTCCTTAGGCTTTGAATGCGTCTTCTGCAACTTTGTGTGTAAAACACAACCTATGTACGAGCGGCACCTACAGATCCACCTGATCACACGCATGTTCGAGTGCGACGTCTGCCACAAGTTCATGAAGACTCCCGAGCAGCTCCTGGAGCACAAGAAGTGCCACACCGTCCCCGCTGGAGGGCTCAAGTAAGGAAAGCAAGTACAGCACGTGCCTCCCCACAACCTCACAAATCCCGCCCCCACCCTACCCCCTCAGACAGGACACAGCCCAGGCTTTAAACAGAGTCTATCCAGGAGCACTGGTCGAGGATTCACAACAGAGGGTGTTCCAGAAATGAGCTAAGTTCATCGAGCAGTGCTTCAGGGTAACCTCTCTGTGGAGCTGCATACAGTGGAAGCATGTTATGTTCCTGAATGTGCCTGAAACATATGTGAGCACACAACTCTAGAGTCAGAGATTTGAATTGACTACTTATAACTGCACTTTACAGCTAATATTTTTAAAGGAACAGTTCACCAATTAAAGGGATAGTTCACCTGAAAATGAAAATTCTGTCATGATTTACTCACACTCAACCTGTATGAGTTTCTTTCTTTTGTTGAGCACAAAATAATATGTTTTGAAGAATGTTAGTAAGTAACTAAACAGTTGATGGTAGCCATTGACTTCCATACTATGGAAGTCAATGGCTACCGTCAAATTATTGGTTTCCAACATTCTACAAAATATCTTCTTTTGTGTTCAACAGAAGAAAGAAACTCAGAAATGGACACTTTTTTTGGACGCTTCAAAAAGAATGCAAAAAAGGCATGAAAGTATCATAAGTTGTCCATATAGCGTGCACTATATTCCTAGTCTTTTGAAGACATGCGTTATCTTTTTATGAGGAACAGACCATAATTTAAGTGATTATTCATTGGAGACCTTGATATATGCCCTAGCTTTCCTATTATGAGAGTTCGTAAGAGAAGTAGTGAAAGTCTAAATATTGTCAAAGAATCAGTTCATCTGCTTCACAAAGCTGATCAGAATGATTCATGATCTGGTTGTAGCAGTTCTCAAGTTAACAGCTTTTTGAAGGGAATGATTTTGTGTGAATAACAAATGGGGTCTGTCCCTTACTTAGCTTTAGAAGACTACAGGTGAATATAGCACATGAGTCATTTGGACCACTTTTATTGTTCTTTTTCATACTTTTGAAGCTTTTTAAGAATTTACAGTCTTATTCATTGTAATTACAAAGATAGGAATTTCATGATATTTCATGTTCCATGGAAAAAATGATGTTATACGAGTTTGGAACAACATGGTAAGTAAATAACCATTATTTGCATTTTTGGGCAAACAGTTGGGACATTGCATTGCTAAAAAGTTTAAACCTTCAATTTACTGAATCACACTTTAATTTACAAGACTTTTTCTGTTTTTCTCATCAGTGTTTGAGGAAGTACAGGGCTCCCCATAGGTATCATTTGTAATTCCACTTTGTTATTGGGACACTAATTCTATGTAGGTGAGCACACAAATCACAGGCACTTTCAGGAACGAGACCCTTCCTTTGGAAAGCCTGTGGTAGACATTACTGCAAAAGGTCTGGGCCCGCATGTGAAAATATATCTGAAGAAATCACAACAAGCCAGTCAGCACTTGTCCATCTGTTGAGCAGCTCCACTGCCAAGACCATTAGGCTACAGTTCACACTGTTCTTTCTCAGCCTGTCATAGCCGCCACCACAGTTACAACAACACATTTAAACACAATGAATACTCATCTGAAGGCAAATAGACACTGTATTTCCAAACACTTACAAGACATACTGACCCCCAAGTTGAGATCTTGTTTTGTTTTGGGGCTTCTTTTTTTGTTGGGGATCTTAACACAAAGTCCAGTCTTTGATATTTTCTGTTGTATTTGTCTAGTTGTTTGACATACATAATTCATGTCTTAAGGTCATGTATTTCAGATTTCATTGCCTCATCTTGTCATTTATGGCTATGCTTTTCCATGCTAGACACATTTGATAGTTTGTAGTTATCACTCATTAGAGCGCTTAGCCATTACCACAGGTAAAGGAGGAAAAATAAACTTAGATCAGTAGCAATATTTAACTAAGTTGGAAGTACAGACAGTACTTTACTTGGGGTCTTGTTTAGCAGTTATGATAAAAAGCAGAACAAGAAGTGTCATTTGACAATTTTCTAAATGTGCCATTAAAAGTGAATGATACGCCTTTAAATATGATTTTAAGATGACTGAATAAAGGCAGGCTTTCTATTTTGTGCCTTTAAAAAAAAAAAAGTATCAGATGGGAACTTATTTGAAAGGGACTCAGCATGTAATCTATGGTTTAATATTCTCTTTTTATTTGTTAGCTCTAATATAAAAAACACTGGAAAAACAATTAAAATCCTCCATTCAATATTTTGTATTCCCAGTATTTGAGTAAACAATAATGTGCATTTCCACAGAGTGTTTCTTGGTCAGTATCTTAAACAATTGCTGTTTTGACTGTGTTCTTACATTTGGAATCTGTAATGGTTCAATGACTCTGAGGTGTAAGTGTGTGTGGTCGGCTTTAATGTTTCTGTATATGTATAACAGCTGACTGCTTACAAATCACTGCATGTTTTTTTTTTTTTTTTTCACGGGATCTTTCTCCCACAGCAGGGTTCCAGTTGGCTGGATTAATGTCTGCTTATGAATATTCCATACAAGGTGTCATAGTTTAGAATTGGACTGTATATTTTTGTATATAAATACCTGTACTTAAGTGTCCTTATCTTAGACATGTAGTCGCTGCGGATTCTCTATTAATTCTATACGATTTACATAATCCCATATAAGATGTAACCAAGAAAAGCATCAGTAAATACATCCCATAGGACAAAGTTACTCCTCAGAGGTTGCTTTTTCATAACTCAATGGAATATTCAGTTGCAGTTTCTGCAGTTTCAAATGGTTCTGAGACATACCAAAATATTACATAGCTTATGATATTAAAGAGATTTTTTTTTCCCTATAAGACAGTCCTCAACATGACTTTCATGTTTCTCAGATGAAATGGTTTGCTTTTGATCACAAGCAGCAGCTTCTTTTTTTTTTTTTTTTTAAACAAACACTTATAGTAGGCAGTATACTTAAGTAGTAGTATACTGCCTACTAGTTACATGCATAAACATTGCAGAAAAGTGTTTTAGATTTATGCTTAAAACATGAAGAAAAAAAAATAAAAATAAAATTGCCAGTGGGGTGCCAAAAATAAACTTTTTAAATTAAAAAAAAAAAAAAATGAAAACAAGTCTTACAATTTAGTGCCATATTGCTTCTCAATTAAACTTATTTTGTTTTAGGTATGTTTAGATATTTTTACTGTAAAACAAGACTGGGTGCAGTGTCTGCTAGGAGTTTACTTTCTAAACAATATGCATCTTTACTGTTTATCTTTACTATTCTGATATACTGTTTGTTAATAATTTATTCACTCAAAATAATGAACCATGCAGTTGATCTTGGTGAAACAAAATATTCCCAAATTATGAACTGATTTTTGGTTCAGAGTCATTGCACAATACAGATTCAAAACTTAGAGCACAAAACCCAAAAGTGACCAAATACATTTAGAGCTTTTGTTTTTTATTTTTCTTTGGGTTTTTTTTTGTTTTGTTTTGTTTTTTTTAGTCAGGGCGAGAGAGTTTCACAGCGCTCTAGTTCAGTGTTGAGGTAGAGAGGCGCCCTTCACAGTGTGCTTTCTGAGGTCATTCTGTTCTGCAGGGTTTGTGAAGCGCTTTGGGGCCCTGAGCAGATGAAAGGTGCTATTTAAATGTAAGTGCCACTCATTTATTCATTTACCTTCATCTGATTCCCATTCCAACCTGTCCGCAACCACACAGCCGTATGCACACACACCCTCTCTCTCACATGTAGCAGTGTTTACACACTAAGACTGTAGCTTATATACACGACAGAGGGTAAGACACACTAAATGCCTCCTCCATCCCTTCCCTTTGTCCATTCTGTGTGTTCTTCATTTCATTTAAGAGAACAGAGTGTTTTCTCGCTCAAGAGGTGCATCATTAAATGTCTTCCATTTCTATGTCCTACACCCTACTCCTCATGTCTCTTTGACCAGGTGCCCTCTATGCATCTACTCCACCAACAGGCCAGCCGCCATGGAGGGCCACCTGAAGATGCACTACAAGATGGAGTATCGCTGCCGCATCTGCCAAGCCGTGTGGGCCAATCAGGCAGAGCTGGAAAGGCACACGCGTGCTCACCGCCTGGGCAACCACTACAAGTGCGAGCAATGCGGCTACCTCTCCAAAACAGCCAACAAGCTCATCGAGCACATGCGCGTGCACACCGGCGAGCGGCCTTTCCACTGCGACCGCTGCAGCTACAGCTGCAAACGCAAGGACAATCTCAATCTCCACAAGCGGCTCAAGCACGCACCGAGACAGACCTTCGGTTGCGCCCAGTGCCCATTCACCACCACTCACCCGTTCGTCTACAGCCGCCACATTAAAAAGCACCAAGGCGGGGAGGGGAGCGCCGAGGAAGGTGAGGCTTGGCCAGGTACGCCACGTCCAGGCCTTTTGGATCGAGGAGGGAACAGCAGTGATAGCGGGAGCACCAGTCCGCTCATGAACCTGTCCGCCTCTCAAGCCTTGCAGTCCGTCGCCCTGTCAATCACCAGCAAGCGGCAAGACGGCACCCCTACCACGCGCTACCTCTCGGCCAACGGCACGTTCTCCACACTGGCGACCCGCTACTTGGAACAGTACAGGAACTGTGACCTGGCTCACCTCATCCCCCTCACCACGCTCTTTACGGCCCGCCGCTTCACATTCCACAGCCCCTCACCCTCAAACTCCTTTCTGCCCTTCTCGGC